CGAGAAATTATTTGTTCACTATTTTATGAACATAATAATTGAATCAATAATATGCACACCATAATTTTGAGTACAGCGATGATTCACACATTTTACTATATAAATATATCACACTACACACTATTGAATAATATTACAGCAAAAGAATGAAGAAAAAATCAATCAGACATTGAAATAATTCAGTAATTATATCTTTGTGGCAACCCCTGCCTGACAGCTTTGGCAAAGCAGAACTTCCCCGACGCTTGCCGAGTCAGCGCCTCCTTTTTACCAGACTTTCCTGATCTATTGCAGCCAAAATATGCCACTCACGATTTTTTTTATTATTTTTTCCGTGATTAGGGAACACAAATTAACAAGAAAAATTTGTTTTTGTTACTTTTCTTTTTGTTATGCACCTGTGGGTGACAAAGGCCAAATAGCCCTTAGCAACACAAGGGTTAATAATATAGTGGAACCTCAGTACTCAAACAGAACTAGAACAATTCGGCACATGAATGCTGTGTTCATGTTCAGTAGTTAACTGTTTGCTCAGCACTCAAACATAAACATGCTTCCCAGATGAGCAAGTTTCCCAGTACTGTAGCTGTCATTCAGTGCACACTGAAGTATGTTTGTGAAAGTTAATGGTAAGAGCTAAGCAAAAAGAAAATTAGTTAGAACCACAACTGTGATGAAAAATGAACTCAAAAGCAAAATATGAGAGTAGTGCCCGCGTGTTTGCTCGTGCTACCGAGTTTGGTATGCCTAAATCTAGTTCTCTAATAAAAGTAATACTCTATGTGCAAAATGGGGGGAAGCGCAAGGATTTCTTGAAAAATATCACGCAGATAAAGATGTGATAATGGTAAGGGACTCCCCTGCCAAAGAATAACACTCTCTTCCTCACCACCTTCCACTTATGCAATAAACTCTCCTAAGTGCAGGTGTAAGTGTATACAATCTTCGTATTTATTTAATTAAATTATTTATTTGTATTTATTTTTGTGGTCTGGAACTGATTAATCCAATTTACATTATTCCTTATGGGAAAAATTGTTCATTACTCTTAACATATTGGCATTCAACCGGCCTTCAGAAACCAGTTAAGTTTGTGTACCGAAGTTCCACTGAAATAATATTATAAGTTAATGATAATTTTTTGTTATTAATTTTTTTGTTTATATATATATACAGTATATATATATACAAGAGTTCTTACATTCTTCATTCTTGTACAGCTGGACTCGGAGCAACAACCGAACCAGTGGGAAGAGGTACAGGTAACCCCACCTCGACCAGTTCAGCTGAAAGGCATCGATCCCGACGGCCTCGCAGTCTGGGACGGGCGCCACATACACTGGAAGACGCCTCGACCATGCCGATGTGAAGAGGTCCACCTCCGGGCATCAGTACGTCCAGCAGAACCAACTGAACAAGTCGGCGTCGACCATCCATTCCGTTGATAGGGGGAATGAACCGAGACAGGCCGTCCACCAGGACGTTTGACACCCCCTGAACATAAACCGCCAGGAGAGCCAAACCCCGAGAACTCGGCAGACGAGTCACCCGAAGAGACCAGCCCCAAAGAGCCAAAGATCGCATCAGACCCCTGAGGATCAGGTAATGAACCACAGGGAACTGTGGTTCATTATCACAGTATTCATCAGACTGTGGTAATGAACCACAGTCTGAATGGAGCCAGAGCGTTACTCTGCGAGCGACACAAATCCTTTTAAGTGAATGCCACAGTGCCGCAAACTCCCGCACCGTGTTTTGAGCCCAACGGAAGGACGGACACCACCGACCCTGGCCAGTCTGGTGAGCACTGGTCACAAAACCCCAGCCGAGAGACGAGGCATCTGTGAACACATCGAGCGAGAGCTCAGGGAGACACCACGGCACAGAACCCAAAAAAACTCACAGAGGAAGCCGGCAATATAGGAGCCAAAAGCAAGGCCGTCAAAGCCAGATTCAACTTGATGGGTAGACCAGCACGGCAAAGTTCAGGCTCACGCACAGCCACTCGAACAACCGATGTGTGACCCGGGTGCCCTCCAAAAACAGTCATAGGCAGGACCGCAGCCACAACAGCGTCGCAAGAGGGAGAGACAAGGAAGCGGTCCGAGAGTCCCACACAAGACCCAGCTAAGTCCGAACCTGAGAGAGAACCAAATGGGACTTCCTCCAGTTCACCAAGAACCCGATCCTGGTGAGCTGGGAAATAACCAAATCCCTAGCAAGCAAATACGCGGACTGGCTGGGAGCCCACACCAGCCAGTCGTCGAGGTAAGCCAGAACCCGAACCCCCTAACAGAAGCAAACGGGTCACCATGACCTGGGTTGGGCATGTGAACACGCGAGGTGCCAGATTCAAACCGAATGAAAGGCAATGAAAGTGGTAAGCCTGTCACCTTGTGACAAAACCGAGCCAGTCCTTGAACCCCGGATGAATTGGGACGTGCCAATACGCGTCCCGGAGGTCCAGAAACACCATCTAGGCACCCAGCGCCAAAAGCAGCCAAACTTGAAACAGAGTGGTCATTTGAAAGAAGGGGCAAATGACCCAGGGGCTCAGACGAGACAAGTCCATTATGAATCGCAGATCCGCACAGTCCCATTTTAGAACTGAAAACAGGTGGGAAACCCACCTGAGGGACGTAGTCGTTTCGACCACGCCCAAGCGAACCCACTCCAGGATGACCCAACAGAGCACAGGGGAAGAGGCCTGCCTTACCAGCTCCAATTCCCCAGGAGGAGGAGGAGCAACCCAATGCCACTGGATTAAACGGCCTGAAATGCCCACGAATCGTGAGACCAGACAAGACCTAACAGCACGAGCCTCCCCCTATCACCCCGTCAACGGGGGTGACCCGTGAAAGGGCTGACAACCCTTACGAGAGCCTGACCGACGCTCAGAACGATCACTGCGCCAACCAATCGCCGATGGCTCTGCAGGAGGTGCCGATCCAAAATTTGGCACTTCCTGCTTACGACGATCGAAGGAACCCCGACACTTGTCATAACCCTTCCGGGCAAGACTACCATGCCAACCATCCCCTCCCAGGGAGGGGGGAGGGTCGTGCAGACAGATGCACGGCTGTTATGGTGATGCCATGTTTGCTTCCTTGTTTTTGATTGGAGAGTTCTGTTTGCTAGTTCGGCTTTCGGTTTGCAACTGACCAGCAGTACTTTGCTTTAGAATTACTACCTTTCTGGGTGCCTGACCTGGTAGATGGCAGACAAAGATTTCTTCCAATTACACGGGGGTGTTTTTAGGCCATTGCTCCTCGTGCCTCTTCTCGAGGGGGGCCAGGTTCTGGCGCTAGTCCCGGGTAGGCCTAGAACTCCATTGACTGACTGTTGCCACGGTCTAATATATGCACATCAGACCGGTACAGCTTCGGGAAGCCGAAGGGGCTCTTTACAGAAAAATATTTGAAAGTTTTTTTTTCACAAATAGTGGTAGACGGTTAGTACAAGTTAAGTGAAAAAGTAATGGAGGCCAAAACCACCAGTAGTTTCAAAGCATTATCTGGCAAATGGTGCTGGGAAGAGTGGACACCATGAGTGTAGCTCTCATCCTGTAACTACACTTAAGTAATTACAAGTACAGTATACCCATCTTCTTGGTCCTCCTGTTACCAAGAAATTTTCTCATATTGTATTCACCCTTATTTCCATAATTCATTAATTCAACATAACCAAATCACCTCAGTACGCAATATTCTCCTCACTCTTACAATTAATTCGTTTTGGTACTCCCATATTTTATACATGCTACCCCATGATATTTTCAATCCATACCATAGTCAAACTATCCTCCTAAAACCATACTTTATGTTCCCCAAATTGTCCACTTCTACAGCTCTATATCTGTTCATTCTCATTAGCATCTAACATCCATTTACAAGGGTAGACAGTACCACTCCCTTTTGATATTTAATGCAGAACACTTATGGGATACTTGCAGTAATGCCAGAGGGAAGATAATTCCAATTTGGTTATATTTTTTGGCTCATGGTACTTTTGGCCAAATTAACATCAACTCTACTTTAGAATGTGGCAGTCTTTATTTTCCAGAATATTACAAGAAGTGTGATTTCCTATAAGGGCTATTTCTTAAGCACTTCTCTGGCTTTAGTGCCTCATTTGCTAAAACAATTTTTTGTTTTTAAATACAAGGGCAGTAAATCCTATATTATTCAAATTACTCAGGATGCAAAACCTACACTTCACTATAGTACAAAGCAAGCCTTATGCACATACTATAAAGCCTAATACTGTACAGTATATACACCAGTAAGGCTAATTTTCACTTGGTAAAGCTTAACATACACACACACTATGAAGCGTAATACAGTATATTCACAGTGTAAAGAGCAAAACCCAATTAATAAACAGAATGGAAAGTTCAGATTATTAAGTGCTTAGTACCTATATTTTCTATATAACAAGTAGTTGGCAACTGCTTCACTTTGGCTCACTTGGCAACCAAATGAAACCAATGCAAAAACTCTGAATTAATAATGTTGAGGTTCATCATTTGAACTTCAGATAATGCAGGACAAAATACTCGAAGAAATTTGAAATGACACTTGCTCAGAATACATGAAATAATATACCAAGAGAAGTATCAGTTTGTAATATGAAGAACAGTCCTTCCTATTCATTAATATACTGTACATCATTAATAGTCAAATCATCACTCCTTGTTCAAACAACTGAGAAGCATAAACACACTGCAAAAAAACTAAGAACATTTATTAATTTAAAATAATTTTCAGCCATGCTATAAAAAAAATATAAAATCCATATGCAGTCTATTCTTACCAACTCATGTTTAGTATGGATTCCACCCTTAGTACTGTGGATCTTTTAAAGCTTAAATAAGCTAACAAAGACAAAACATCAATTATAACTGATGAAATGTTGCACAAAGAATACTAGACATCCAAATCCAATAAATAAAACAAATTTGTCTGTAGCAGCTAATAAACTACACTAAAAAAAACACTCACCATTTCAAGTAGATTCATATCTGCATGCTTGACTCTCCGCCCTGGAGCTACCAGAAGGCCAAAGCATCTCTCCACATTAAGTTCATCCATGCTTGTGTGCACAGCGCTGCTCTGACTGCTAGGGGGTGCTGGAGTGACAGTCAGGACAAGCTGCTTCTCAGTATTACAACGCAGTTTGAAGAATTCTTTATCCCTTGGCACAGTATTGAAGTTCCCCTAAGGAGTATGTTTCTATTAACTCTCCAATGGCATATCTGAATGCAAACTGAAATTTACAATGATATAAATGTAACACTTTGACATTAAAGAGCAATGTTAGGAACAAAAACTCTATACATTTTTTCTGTCTAGCACAATTCCATCAATACCAGTGAGAGTGAGTTATGCTCTGATAATTTGTAGCTTTTGACAATTTGTAAGAAAAGCTCAGAAGCAATTTTGAAATTCTAAGATTGTTTTGAAGGATTTTTGTTTGAATTATATAAGTTCCTGAAATTTTGATGATGCTTCCTCCATGTCAGATTTTTATTATTACTTATTTATGATGTATTTTATCAGACCACAGTCATTTATATACATTCGAAGTGGGAAGACGATATTACTAATAGCTTACAGTCAGCCATTCATTACATCATATTTTGCAACAAACCTGGCTTAGGTTCCACAAAGCAATTATGTGTCCACTTATGAAATTTTTACCGTTTAAGTTGCCACGAGTGATCTAAATCAGTACCTGGGGTATTTACTAACCCATTTATGATCTAAGCATTACCAGGTCACCCACATCCTGAGGCTATATCTGTTATGGATGACCTTATAGTGCAATGGAGATTATAAACTGTTTGGTAAATACCAAATAAGTCACCATGATTAAGATTAGTAGTATAAATCGTGGTAGTCCTTTGTGAATCCTATCCCGGGACAACTTTAAACACACATTTTCAAGTGTTATTTGTCTATACTTTAGACCAACATATTTACAAACTCTGATATTTATCTATGAAAATACGAGTGAATGTACTTGGATGTAGTGTACAGTGTGTGATAATTAAAGAGGGGAACTGCACATCTGGCCTTTCAAAGTGGTAGGGTACTGCTGTGGGTGACTGCTGCAGTGGTTGATCCATGATGCTATATTGTGTGAATTATATAATGAATGGACAGGTAACACAGTACTGTACATACATTTTTTAAATATCAATCTTTTTTCACCAAATTATTCCCCCCTTTTTTCTCTGGCCTGATGTTTTCCCATTCCAAGAAAGCAGGAATAAGGGGTATTCGGTGATAATGAATGAATGCGATTCATTTCACAGATTTCCATTAATATAAAACACACACACACACACACACACACACAAACAGGGTTGATTCAACAGAAATTGCGAGAGGGCACAGAGATCAAAAGACACAAGCATGGAATCAATATAGAAAGAGGTCAAACCCCCAAACATACCAGCGATACAAAGATGCGAGAAACAACTACACGTCAGTAAGGAGAAAGGCAGAGAGGAACTTTGAGAATGGTATAGCAGATAAATGTAAATCAGATCCAGGTCTTTTCTATATATTCATTAAAAGCAAGCTGCAGGTAAAGGAGGTTCAGAGGTTGAAAATGGGGGACAGATACACGGCAAATGAAAAGGAAATATGTGAAACATTAAACGAAAAGTTCCAAAGTGTGTTTGTACAAAATGAGATCTACAGGGAACCATACACAATAACAATTCCAGAGAACATCATAGAGCACATAGAGGTGTTGAGAGATGAAGTGAAACAAATGCTCTTGGAGGTAAGTAAGAACAAAGCAGTTGGCCCAAATGGAGTTCTGAGAGAATGTGCACCTGAGCTCAGCATACCACTTTAGTCGATTTTTCAGACTTCGTTGTGTACAGGAGCCGTAGCAGATGTGTGGAAAAAGGCTAACATTGTTCCAATCTACAAAAGTGGAAGCAGGGAAGACCCCAACAATTATAGACCTGTATCATTGACAAGTGTAATAGTAAAAATATTGGAAAAAAATAATAAAAACTAAATGGGTAGAACACCTGGAGAGAAATGATATAATATCAGACAGACAGTATGTTTTTCGATCTGGAAGATCCTGTGTATCGAATTTATGGTTTCTATGATCGAGCCACAAAGATTTTACAGGAAAGAGATGGTTGGACTGACTGCATCTATCTGGACCTAAAAAAAAAGGCTTTAGACAGAGTTCCACATAAGAGGTTGTTCTGGAAACTGGAAAACATTGGAGGTGTGACAGGTAAGCTTCTAACATGAATAAAAATATTTCTGACTGATAGAAAAATGAGGGCAGTAATCAGAGGCAATGTATCAGACTGAAGAAATGTCAAGTGGGGTACCACAGGGTTCAGTTCTTGCACCAGTAATGTTCACTGTCTACATAAGTGATCTACCAGATGGAATACAGAATTATATGAACATGTTTGCTGATGATGCTAAGACAATAGGAAGGATAAGGATAGGATTAGAAAACTTAGATGATTGTCATGCCCTTCAAGAAGACCCGGACAAAATAAGTATATGGAGCACCACTTGGTAAATGGAATTTAATGTGAATGAGTACCGTGTTATGGAATGTGGAATAGGAAAACAGAGACCCCACACAACCTATAAATTGTGAGAAATCTTTAAAGAATTCTGATATAGAAAGAGATCTAGGGGTGGTTCTAAATAGAAAACTATCACCTGAGGACCACATTAGGAACGTTGTGCGAAGAGCCTATACTACGCTTTCTAACTTCAGAATTGCTTTTAAATACATGGATGAGGAAATACTAAAAAAATTGTTCACGACTTTTGTTAGGCCAAAGCTAGAATATGCAGCGGTTGTGTGGTGCCCATATCTTAAGAAGCACATCAACAAACTGGAAAATGTGCAAAGACATGCTACTAAGTGGCTCCCAGAGTTGAAGGGCAAGAGCTACGAGGAGAGGTTAGAGGCATTAAATATGCCAAAACTAGAAGATAGAAGAAAAAGAGGAGATATGATTACAATGTACAAAATAGTAACAGGAATTGATAAAATTGATAAGGTAGGTTTCCTGAGATCTGGAACTTCAAGAACAAGAGGTCATAGATTTAAACTGACTAAACAAAGATGCCGAAGAAATATAAGAAAATTCACTTTCGCAAACAGAGTGGTATACGGGTTGGAACAAGTTAGGTGAGAAGGTGGTGTAGGCCAAAACAGTTAATAGTTTCAAAGCGTTATATGATAAAGAGTGCTGGGTAGACGGGACACCATGAGCGTAGCTCTCATCCTGTAACTACACTTAGGTAATTACACTCACACATGGAATTCAATGTGAATAAATGCCATGTTATGGAATGTGGAATTGGAGAAAATAAACCACACATAACTTACAAATTATGTGGAAAGGAATTAAAGAATGAGATAGAGGTGGTTTTGGATAGTAACTGTCACCAGCGGAACACACAAAGAATATTGTGAGAGGAGTGTGTGTGCGTCACTTTCCAACTTCCCTCTTGCTTTTAATTACATGGATGGTGAAATACTAAAGAAACTGTTCATGACTTGTGAGACCAACATTGGAATATGCAGCAGTTGTATGGTGTCCATATCTCAAGAAGCACATAAATAAACTGGAAAAAGTGCAAAGCAATGCTATGAAATGGCTTCCGGAACTGAAAAATAAGAGTTACGACAAGAGGCTAGACGTGTTAAATATGCCAAAACTAGATGATAGAAGAAAAAGAGGTGACATGTTCACCACTTGCAAAATACTAAAAGGAATCGACCAAATTGACAAAAAGGAATACTGTATCTGAAACCAGGAACTTCAAGAACAAGAGGACACAGATTCAGGCTAAAGAAACAATGGTGCGAAATAAATATTAGAAAATTTTCTTTTGCAGAGTAGTAGACGGTTGGAACAAGTTAAGTGAGAAGGTGGATGAGGCCAAAACTGCCAGTAGTTTCAAAGTGTTATATGACATAGAGTGCTGGGTAGACCGAACACCACGAGCATATTTCTCATTCTGTAACTACACTCAGGTAATTACACATACGCACATAGTTCCAGAAGGCTCAATTTTTCTTTTAATGTTTTCGATTTTACAGCTTTTAAGAAATGATCATTTTACCTTGCTGTCTTCCTCTTTAATTTCTAAAGATATATCGAACAGGTGAACATGATCTGCTTGTTGTCGATTTTGGCAGAGCTCCACTTCTTTCTTCACCAATTTATTTCTGGGCACTCTTCGGAATGCTGCTGCGAAGGTGATCAACACACGTGCAACCTAAACACAAGTCATTGATTTAATAAGACAACATTTAAAAAAAAAAAAATAAAAAATAGGTTCACTTTTGAAACAAGATGAAGCTCCATATCTACATTTTATTTCTAAACTTTATGTTTAGAAATCAAGTGTAGGGATCCGATCATCTAAGAAATAAATAAAAAATGGATAGGTTTAATGAGTACTGTACTTGAAGTGGACAGGCTACCTGTCAAGATTCAGGTCGGACCCACTCATGGCTTGGTTCTTCAACACTAATGATTACCCAATATATGCTCATCTCATGTATGCAGTAGAATAGGTTAAGGGACATGAATAAAAAAATATTCGTCCACACATGAAAAATAGTATAAAATCTTAAACAAGTCTAACATTACTTGGCATCAGCATTGTGAAAATTTCATCCCAATATGTTAGGAATGGATTTTATATGAATTAAACAAAAAAAAGTGTGTAACCAGTACTGATTATAACAATAATACCTCCTAGTTAGTGGAACTCAAAAATAATGCAGTGATAAAGAGATGCAAGTACCTGTCAAATGCACAATGAAGAAGAGAGTAGTAAGGAGGGTCCACAAAGTGGATATGCATCTGGTGCCTTCTAGGATTGCTGATTGCCAACTGGAGGGCAAAATTTCACACAAATATCAGTGATTAAACCACAGGCGAACAGTCCGAATGGAGCCGGACCGTCGATCCTCGAGAGAACTGAATTCTTCGGAGCGATATCCACACACGCAAAATCTGGGTTGTGCATGAGGTAAGCTGCAAGGGCATCCCACACCCACTGGGACTGGACTCGGGAAGCCGGAAACCTCCAGAAAGATGGAACCAAAGAACCGTCGGGATTACTGAACCGAACCCGGGAAGAGGTAGACGCCAAATCCAACTTGTACAAGAAGGGAGCAAAAGAGAACCCCACACCTTGAAACACTAAGCACTGCTCCGAGGGTACAAAAACCCAAGTGGGGTCCAAAGGGGCCCAAGGCCCCCAAGTCAACCCCTTCTCCACCCCAGGAACCTCACCCTGAGGATCCAGGACCGAGCCGTCTTCCACACCCTCCACCTCAAAAGAAAATGCAGCAGCAGCCAAAAAAGCAGGAATGAAGGGGGCCCACTGGCCAGACACAGAAACTCCAGCAGAAGGACTAGGCTCGAATGCCTCCACCACCACCACTCTGGAACGGGACTTCCCCGATCCTGCCAGAGTCTCAACACCAACTAAACCCTGCCCTGACTCCGAAACCCTCAGAGGCTTTGGAGCCGGAAGCAAGGGGGAAGGAACCGGATGGACAACAGAAGGGGAGGGATAAGAGGGGGGGGGGGAGAACGAAACCAGAGATAAAGCAACTCCCATTCCCAAGTCCGGGTCCTTAAAACCAAAACAGGGCAGTCTCGGGGCATACGGGGAAGCAACTAACCTAGCATGTTGCAGCAACCTAAACCTAGCATGCAAAGCAGCTGCCGCCTGCACCCTCATATCGTAAGCAGTAGCTCGGGTGAACTGGAGCACACACAAGCAACAAACGTCGCACGACTCCGGGTCAAAAGAATCGCCAACACAACAGGCAACATGGCAGAGGCACAACCGGCGATTGTCCCCCAAAGACAAGGGGAAAGAGTAACCTTCTGACTCACACAAAACAAGAGGGGACTCAAGGATCACATGCATCGGACTACGGAGCCCCCGCTGGCTTTCCCAGGGCCCTTAGCCTTATTAACACGCTAAGAGAAGCCCAGGCAGGGTACTGCGAATTGGTGTCCAAGACTACCAAACAATCTGCTAATAGCTGAACCCCTGGGATGTGTCCACTCACAGGGCCTGCCAAGGAGTACCACCAACCACACAAAAACGAGAATAGATATGATGATAGATATATACACCCCAACACAGAAGAGGCAACTATCAAGGCAGACCCCCTCACCAGGCAGAAAAATAAGAATATAAGCAAAACCCTGCAAGAGGACAACGTACCCAGGTGGAACAGAGCTAGCCCCTGAAAGAGCTGAGCACTAGCTATGCAGTACCCCGCACCCCCCTACCAGTGACAAAAACTACCCCTATCCAGAAGCAAACACGGGTAACAAAGACCCCAGTTGACTCAAAGGGCAGCAAAGTACCGAGCAGTAAAAGACACAGAGGGGGATAGATCCCGAGGTAATTTGTGGAAGGCGGCCCCAAGGGTAGTACTTACAGGGCACCTAAGGAAGGTGGCCTTAGGCGCATGCAGCCGTGTACTGAAGAATATTACTTCTGGCTCGCACAACACTAGTAGACACAGTCCACACCCAAGGCACAGAATCCGAGACAAATCGCTGGAGCCAGAGGCACAAGACCACGCCAGTAGCACATCAGCTTGAGAACTGCAGGGTGGATCGTCGGCATTGGGGTCTGGGGCTTCCCCTTCCTAAGGAAGGGGAAGGGGTGTACAGAAAGCAGCGCGGCGACATGACAACGCCATGCTCATTTGCTAATTTTCGTTTGGGGAGTTCTGTCCACTCGTTTGGTTTTTGGTAGCCATAGTTTCACCATAATAGGGGATTGTTTTGGGGCGCCTACCTTTCTGGGTGCTAGATCTGGTCGAAGGCAGACATTGAATGTTCCCAACAACATGGGGATTTCTATAGGCCATTGCTCCTCATGCCTCTCTTGAGGGGGCCAGGTTCTGGCTCATGGTCCCCAGTAGGCAAGAACTCTGTGCACATTGACTGATGCCAGAAAGTTATACATATCCATTCAGCCTGGATAGCTCCGGGAGCTAACAGGACTCCCCCCAGAAAATTTGGTATATGCAATCAATGCAGTTCCAAAAAATTTGTACTCGCCTTTATCTTGCAGAGGAAAATCTCACCAAATGCCTATCCCTTCCAAGGATAACCTACTTTCTGAGGTGCGCCCCATCTTATGACAACCGAAAGCTTGAAGAGTATGACCTCTTACTGAAGACCGTGCTAGAAAAAGTTGTTAACAGAGGTAAAAGAGGCGACTGTCACCCTGAGACAAGAGCACAGCAACCAACAAACCCACACAAGACGGGTTGGAACCTGGAAGACACATCCAGTGGTCCACCAAGCCCCGTCAGGGTTTTCCAGGGCCCGTAGGGTTACAACTACGGGTAGCCCGGACAAGGTGTTGCTAACCGGTTAAAACCCAAAACTAACAAGGGGTAGAGGACAACACTGAAAACCCTTGCGATGTATACAATCACAGGGGCCTAGCAGAGGGCCACCAAACACGGAGCAGTCTCCGTGGTGTAGTGGTAAGACACCCGCCTGGCATTCCGCGAGCGCTATGTCATGGGTTCGTATCCTGGCCGGGGAGGATTTACTGGGCGCAATTCCTTAACTGTAGCCTCTGTTTAACGCAACAGTAAAATGTGTACTTGGATGAAAAAACGATTCTTCGCGGCAGGGGATCGTATTCCAGGGACCTGCCCGAAACGTTACGCGTACTAGTGGCTGTACAAGAATGTAACAACTCTTGTATATATCTCAAAAAAAAAAAAAAAAAAAAAAAAAAAAACACTACCAGTGGAACTATAGCCACACTAGGCAGACACCCCATCAGGCAAGTGAAAATAAAAAAAGAAAACCCCCACAAAAGTACACCATACCAAGAGGCAACAGGAACCAGTTGCCACGTAGGTAGCAGATCGAGCAACACCTTGACGCCCTGACCAGCACAATACCAGTCCCTACCCAAGGCTAAACAAGATCCCCAAGGGCAAGGCAAATGCCTAGCAGCAAGAACCTTTACGAGAATAGTTCCAGAACGCCGCAGAGAAGATAACCCTGTCACGCAGGGGCAGTACTCACAGGGCGCTTAGGGAAGGAAGCTCCTAAGCACATGCAGCCCCAGTACTGATGAGGAACACCTGGCCACCGCACAACACAACACACGGCAGTGAATGCCACGAAAGGCAAACACCTCCCAGGTCTGTCCCAGTTGACATTAGCTTACGAACTGGAGTGCTATGCAGCCGGCGCTTTGAGGTCTGGGGCCCCCCCTCCCCCTCTCGGGAAGGGGAGGGCTGCGTGGACAAGCGGCGCAGCAGTAGTATGTTACGTTTGCTTGTTTGCTTGTTTCCTTGGGATTGAAGGGAATTCTACCTCTCTGTTCGGTTTTTGTTTTTAGTTTCTTACCAAGTAGGGTTTGTTTTGTTATGCCTACCTTTCTGGGTGCCTAACCCCGGTCAATGGCAGATAAGGAAAACCCCCAACCACAGGAGGGGGTTTTCCAGGGCCATTGCTCCCTGAAACCTCTCTGAAGGGACCAGGTTCTGGCTCATGGTCCTTGGTAGGTCTGAACTCCATAGCTATTGTCCCGTTATAATGTAACATACATTAGCCCGATAAGAGCCAGGGAGCCGTAGGGGCTCCCCTCAATAATATAATTTACCTATGCAATTTGCTTTACATATTTGACTACGGGAAGAAGTGCAGTACAGTATTTATTTTGATTAGGAAGATTATAAAAAAGATGTATTTGTCTTGTATGAAAGGAATGCATGTAAAATATTACATACACCAAGGAAATCAAACTTACAGCCTCAGGAATTTGACAACGAAATACATGGCACTGGAAAATTGCAGTTTCTTGTGTATCTCCATGTGAGGATGTAAAGGCAAAGCATCGTGCTTCTGACGTGTCTACTTTCCCACGTGCACAGAAGAGAATACGATGTATCTTGAATCGAGTCATCTCTGTACTCGTCGTTGCATCATATATTCTGTTGTGATAAAAACAAAGACATTACAGCATTGTGAAATTTCTAGCCTTACAATAGTTTTAAGAAAATTAAGCTGGTCATTATTATTATAATTAGTTAATTAATTAGACAATTAACAATTATACAGTATTATAAATTTACTTCTCTACATAAGCAAAACTGTTAACAAAATTCACAATAATTACATATAATTACAAGGTTATGATGATATTACAGTGCAACCTCTATGTGGCTAATGATATGGGATCAACCCCTAATTCATTAGAGTGAAAGGTTGTTGTAACTGGAGGTCCCTTGACCAGCCTTTTATGTGATGCAACTTTTTTTTTTTTTTAAGACAAGAAAAACACATTACTATGCCTGTTTCTTTCTCTGAATGTTTCATTCATCAACAAACAATTTTAAAAGCGTGATAGGAGCTATAATAAGAGTTATCATTCATGCCTTAATATGAATGCTCTATAGACTAATTTCACATATTAAAATAAATTTGTAAAAATTTTGCTAAGTCTGATTTTTTTTATATATATATTTATTTTGGCAGTAATTTCAATACTGTAATGTGTCATGAGAAATTTACATAATAAAATGTGTGTTGAACATCGGAATGAACAAATATATTTATGTCACGAATACGCACACCATATTATATTCTTAAACAATAAAACCCACTGTTTTTACTGTTATTACACAGTAGACACACTTTAGATATAATTGCCTACATTTTCTTGCACCATTACGAACCAATAAACCACTAAAATGTTCTGATGGGTGTAATAATCTCGGACATTTGTGTTCAGCATAGTCCCGCATATTTTGCATGAAGCTGTAACTGCACACACTGAATATATATACAGTATTTTGTTGTTATATATAATGTGCATATACAGAACAATAACTAATATATATTTTTATGCACCATTACAAACCACTAAGCAGTTCCGGTGGGTGTAATAATCTTGTATCCAGTGATCCGAGTTCAACCTAGTTCCAAATATTTTTCACTAAGTTATAGCTGCACGTATAAAATGTATATTTTCTTCATATTTTTAATGTTCTTGGCATAGTTTTTTCAAGTGCAATGATGCACAGGACTGTCAATGTTATTTGCATCACCAAACATGTAGAATTAAGGTACACAGATATATTTGTCACACATATGCACATATATTATTATTCATTGAACTATAAAGTCTACTCTTTTTATAGTTATTCCACTGTATATACATGTTATATATGATTATATATTTATGCACCATTATAAATTACTAAGCAGTTCTGGTAGGTGTGATAATCTCATAATCCAAGCACAGCATAGCACCACATGCTAGTCAGTTGTTGACTGAACCTGACACAGCAAAATGCCTCCTGATATGCCATGCACATTGCTGACTCCAGCCACAACACTGCCATCATTATCAGAATCCTGGTCACTAAATCCTGAATATGAATTATTTTCCACAAATTTATTTTCTAGAGCAGCAAGAGGTTCCATTTCATGATGCCTAGATGCACCACACTGCAACTGTGTACTGTGTCTCTCTACCACGTGCTGTAAGCACTGTAACCAGCATTGGTTTCACTGATATCTGAACATTGAACATAATTTTTATCACAGTCAGGATCTTAATGACACTATAAAAATTAATCATTGCAGTTTCTTATTTATTTCATCATTATTAAGCAATTCTGAAGGATGGGGCTGTATGGTAGTGCCGTGAGCTGCTACTGCTGCATGCTCTGCTCATAGCTGCCCTCGCAGTACTGAGGCCCTCATACCGAGGAGTGCCCATGACATTTTCCATGAAAGCATCTGTTTACTATTGGCCTGAGGAAGGAGATGTGAGCCCTGTATACTCGTGGAAAGTTTTAGTCTTACTCAGTACTTTAAAATATACCTGATTATGTCGTGCAGTTTATGGATATTTGCTGAAAATATCCCTTATTGCATTGCATAAGTTATATCATTCATACCCTCATATTTCCCCATGTCCTATATGGTAATTTCAATGAGCAAAATTTTAATTTTAGCATACCATATGATGGAAAATTTTCCCACAAGTTTGTGAACTAAGCAAATCAGCACATCTCCGCTTCGTTGAATATTTGTTCGCCAAAGAGGGAGAGTAAATTTGGCCTCCCAAAACGAAGTTCGACCATCGAGGCTGTAACGAACTGAATTCTTTAAAAAAGGACAAAATTAAACACAGGCCACACTTACATAACGTATCCTTCAGAATTTGAGGGCACCGAAACAGACACTTCTAAAGCTTGTTCCTGAGCTTGTTCCTGAGCTTGAGCATTGAGGATTGCCATATTCCTCTGAATCTCTGCTTCACTTCTTGGAGCATTGATTGAGGCAGCTCCCAAGTACGTTACTCTGTTGAATATTGTATAGTCCCCACTCCCGTCCTCGGATTGAACTCTCTCCACTGAAAGCAAATATAAATAACATTATGTACAAAATTTCCACATAGGTGAAGCAAAACAAGTGACTGCTTAAAGGAAATAAAACACCTTAGGTAAACAAGACAAATGATTGTCACCGAGGATTAAATACCCTAATCATGATGTGCCTAACTGCCAAACGGTAGCAGCTCAGGTCACCTGGGGTCTCAAGAGAGCCTGTGCCCCCCCCCCACCTTCATTCTGGAGCTACCCATGTAAAACCCACAACCTCATGGGGATGATGGGAACAGGCAGAGAAGGGGGAGCCACAAAGATCCCACCAGAAAAGGGTATTTCATTACATTCAAGGCTTAATATCTAAGAAAGAAAGAGTCCTTCAATAGCTTCTTGAGGTTACTCACAATGGCCATTGCAGACAAGGAAACCACTGACACTGATTGGCACAGGAAAAGCTGGGGCTTCAGCCCCAGCTGAGTCAACACAATCAAGTACTGCCCGAGTGCTGAAGGAGACAGTCACAGAACAGAACCCTAAGAAAATGAATAGGACAAAATTAAGCAGAAACTACGTGAGGAAAACTGGACACGGCAGTACGATCAATCTGGGAATGGCATCTGAAGCTGCAACTGCATATAAGGCAGAGGATGAGGGAAGTCCAGGAAAAACACCCTATACTGCACAGGAATAGATGCCCTGTGATCCACCACCACCAACACCGAAGGCAACCGGAGGACATGGACGAGTGTGGAAGACAAAATTTCTAACAGTAAGGAAGATGAAAACAGTAATTTTAAGATGTAAATCAGAATGTTGGAAAGTCACCAGAAGGGTTCTACAAGGATTAATACTGATGCCCATATGGTTAATTGTATACATATACCAGCAGTAACATACAGTAGTTACATGAACGTATTTGCAGATAATGCTAAAATACTAGGGTGGGAGGATAAAGGGCCTAAACAACTATCACACCTTTGAAAATTAGGTAATACACACCCATTGAGCAGTAAATGGGTACTGTAATTTAATATGAACAGCATGTAATGGAGTTTGGGATAAGTGAGACAAGGCCACATTCAATGTAAATTATGTGAAGACAAAAAAAAAAAAAAAAAAAAAAAAAAAAAAAAAAAAAAAAATCGTAAAGGAGAGATTTAGGGATCATCCTTGACAGGAATCCATTAAAAAATTTCAAAATACAGTAGCTTAAACTGCTCATGATATGCGAGACTCAAATCACATCAGTAATTTTGTGCCCCCGTCTCAAAAACCCAGTGTTGAATGTAATAAAATGCCCATTTCTGAGTAAGCCCCGGTGGCTTCCTGAAGCTACAATGCTGATATAGTGCCAAACTACTAGGTGCCACCAGTCACAGTTATTTTAGGCCTACTGGGGACCATAAGCCAGAACATGCCCCTCCCCTTTAAAGAGGTGCAGAGAGCAGTGGCACTATGAAAAATTTCTGAATTTTTATCATGTCTGCCACCACCAGGGAAGTGCCCACTACTATTTAGAAGCAAGACCAATGCCTCAAAATTGCAAGAATCTCACAGGCTGGGAATGGCCTTAGGGGGCTTATCACACTAAATTAAAAGTTGTTCAATTTGCTTATAAATTTTTTTATGAAATGGTTATAGAAAGGGCTGCAACTGGTCCAAGTTTCACCATCACACCCTAAACAGAAAAGGAGAAAAAAATACACAACGTATTATGCAACGAATGTTCAACATTCTCAAATAATCTCAGGAAACACATGTGTCAACTAAAATGTCTACTATGTGCTGTAGAAGCACAAACTCTTGTAATAATTGTAATATGTATGTGCAATATATTTATATGTAAAATTTTTTTTTTTTCTTTTTTTTTTTGGCCAATTTTTTTTTCTCGTTTGTTATCAAGGGATTTGCATGAAACTTGCACACCTTGCTCAATGGATGCCTATCTGCAAGGGTGCCAATTATGAACGAAATCTGTCGAAGTCAAGCTCAGCTACAGGTGGCCGAACTTGGATCTTTATTTTACTCTGGAAAGTAATTTACAACTTCAAGGCGTTTCTCAGCTTTCATTTATTAATCAATTTACATGCAAATTACACCTTATATGTAGAGTTTGTGCTTCTACAAACCTATTGAGACATTTTAGTCCAAAGTCCATTTGTTGATTTTATAAAAATTTATAAACATCATATATTGCATATTTTTGGAAGGGTAACTTTGAAAAATTATATTATTGCACTAAACACTTTCTTTGATAAAACTGATCAATACAATTAATTATTATGTGTTAGTTTAATATCTGAGTGTTATAGAAATGATTTTAGTTGACACATGTGTTCCCTGAAATTATTTGAAAATGTTGAAAATTCGTTGCATAATACGTTGTGTATTTTTTTTCTCCTTTTCTGTTTAGGGTGTGATGCTGAAACTTGGACCAGTTGCAGCTCTTTCTATAACCATTTCATAAATAAATTTATAAACAAATTGAAATTTTTTTACGAAACCCGTAATATGCCCCCTTATGCAAGGGGATGATGCTGGACTAATCAACACACAGATCCACATCTGGGCACCCAAACGTCTCGCACTGCCAGAGAAAGTGGCCTCAACAGTCCACTCCCTGGAGATGGGATGAAACCAGGACAGACTACTGGCCAGGATGCTGGAAACTCCCAGGACATGAATGGCATAGAGAGCCAAACCCCAGAAACCCAACAGAAGTGCCATCCACAGTGTCCAGCTCCAAAGAGAGAGGGATTAAAGGGAACCCCCCGATGCAGACAAGGAAGCATACAGGAACAGTACAAATAGAGCTGAGCACTGAAGCCTCCCAAGGAATCTAAATCCTCGGCAGCACATGCCACATGACCACAAACACCCACAGAGTGCTGTGCACCTTATGAAATGGGAAACCAATATCACCAACCAGCCTGATGATCGCAGGCCACACAACCCCAGCCAAGAGTCAAGGCAACAATGAACCATCGAATGCCGGTGGAGAAGTGCCAGGGCACCAAACCCTGAAAAGCCCAAAAAGGAAAGGCGATGCAGTAGACGACTAAGGGCAAGCAGAGTCTGGACCCAGTGGTCATGAGAACACCAAAGGGAGATCCCCAGAAGAACCAAGAAAACCTCCAAGGCATACTCTGCCCATGGGGCGAAACAGTAGGGTAAAAGGGAGGCTTCCACCCAGCCGCATAAGCAATCGCTGAGTCACCCAAGGTCAGCTCAACACCAACAGCCAGCGGTACTGTAACTGGGACAAGGCTCATTGAGGCAGGGACAGTGACACCAGCCGGGAGTCCCAAACAAGACCCAACCAGGTCCGAATCAGATCTGCAACCAACTGGGACTTTTTCCAAAGCACCTGGAACATGAATCTGGCGAGCGAGAAAAAAAACAGATCTTTGGCTAACAGACACGCGGACTGGCTGGGAGCCCAAACCAACCAGTCATTGATTTAGACCTAACACTGAACACCCAATTAGATGACCCAACAAATTAGATGACCCAAGAAGCTCTGCAATACGGTATTTACTTTTAGCATTTATGTATTATAATTTTGCATAAAAATCCTAATAAATAACACACCAAAAGTATATTGGGCAAATGAAAGATCATAAATAATAAGGGTATAGCATGTCAGCCATGTAAAACATGTCATTCTGAAATTTTACCAGGGTTCATGTTTATAAAAATATACATATATTTATTAATCCAAAACTGCTTGTCCTCAACTCATTCAATTAAATGATGCTCCACTGTAATTACTGCATATTAAAGGCATTTGGAATTTCTAATTAGCAAATTTGTAAGCAATTGCAATATTTGTGAAATTATATCTTTACTAGTTCTATTTGTCTATGAAATTCTATATCTAGATGTATAACAAAAATTGTCCAACAAAAAAAGCTCACTATCATCATCTGAAGCCACCTGGGAGAAACTTGGATTATTTTCTCCAAGATTCCTGTCATCCATCCTACCATCTTGACTACTGCAAGCATCCTCACTCAGAGTTGAGATCTGGGAAACCTGAGTTTCCAAGATTTGCATGGAGAAGCATGAGGATTCCTCATCCTTCTTTGTACAGGATTTTGTGCTGGAGTCCATGCTATTAGGAGAGGAGCTTTCCGAGCTCTTTTCTCTCATTACCTGCAAAAATACAAAGATTGTAGAAAAAACTAAATCCAAAACAAAGAATGACGTTAGGCTAAGGTTATAAATATATGTACAGGTATCACTTTACTTGCGTTTTTTTTTAAATACTGTGTATACCTCTTCCCCCGATTCATATCAGAGTGGCAGGTAAAATATTTCCCCTAAACACTGTGATTACTGACCATCTCCACACCGTCAACTGTCGATGATCCAACACCAATCGTTGAAACAGTTGGGGGAGAATTCTGCTTGCTGAGTTAGCTTTTATAAAAGTGAAGCAGTTGCCACCTGCTTGCACTGGAAGTAATAAGAATAAGAGAAGAGAATGAGGGCTGACTTAGCAGGCATACACAAGGGTATAGTAGTATTAGAGAAGTGCAGAAGTATATACAGTATAGTAAAAATGGTGACCTATAAAAATTAAAGAACATAACAAAATTAAAACAGTTAAAAAGAGTGCAAGAAGTGGCAATCTTTAGCAGGAAGTGTGAAAAAAAAGCAGGAGACAAAGTCACAACAGCAGTAAGTAATTATTTAAAGAAGGCACCAAGCCGGGGAGGCTATGTAGCAACGTCACACACGACAGCAGTAACAGTCTTCGATTTTTAACTTCATTGAGTAGTAACCCCTAAGGCTGCCCATACTCAACCTTTTTATAACGTGTTGTATTATTGATTATTAGCAATAATATTTTAAGTTATACAAATGGGTACCACCACTGGTGTAATTGAAAGTTCCTACAGCCTTGGAGAAGGGAATACAAAGCAGAGAAAAATTTTCCGTTTGACTCTAAATACAGAGAGTATTCACTTAACCTACCACCCTTTTTCCTTATTATTATTATTGTTGTACACTATATTATACAAGGTTACACAATTACACAGCTTGGTTACAAAGTGTGGATATTAAGAGAAAATAAAGGGAAGTTTGTTTCCTAGAGGCTGTAGATTTCTTTGAATTCCTCTGACACCAGGCAGGAACCAAGGAAGCAGTGGGCAATGTAGAATTCTCCCTCTGGAATGCTACACTGAGGCGCTGGAAGAGAAAGCTCACCACTCTAGGGGTCTCTTGTTTTGATGAGCCTGGAAGCAAGCAAGATCCTTAAGAAAGCTCCTTGCACTCTCTTCCCATGGACCAAGTGGTCTCAGATCCTATTATAATGACATTGTACGAGTGATCTTTCCCTGTACTTGGTTGATTTCTCTCTTTCTCTGTGTGGCTGTGGCCCCCGATTAGCCGACAGAATTTGACGTATATGACTGCCAAGATGGATACACAAGTACAGTTCCACACTAACTGTCTGCCATTTTTTCATGGGCGCAATGTGATTCTATCTGGTCAACCAGCAAAGCTAACAGTTATAGCTCAATAACTTGCAAGGCTCTCTCTCTGCTGGACACTGGGCAGAGGCAAGGCTTCTCTTAATGATGTAATTTGAGTTCGTTGTATCATGAGTGCCAACCGCCTGATTTTCCACAGTTCAGGCCATGTGATCCATATTTGTCTGCATCTGCCTCGCCACAAATACACCTATATACAGTGTGGATTGGGGTAGCAAGATGGAAGGCAACTGCAATACGGAGCTACTGCAGATCAAGACATGTGCCTGTCGCAGACAAAGGGACTGCTAAAAGGAAGTCCCCTGCATGGGGAGCCCAAACAGCTGTGAGGCGTGCACGATCACTGAAGGTTGTTGCTGCCTCTGGCAAAGCTGTGGCTTCTTTATCTACAGTGGGGCTGCTCCCGCTGGATTGTTTCTTGGCTTTCAGCAAGGTTGGTCTGAGTGCTGGGTCTGCCAGAGTACTCTCTTTTGTATTGCATTCCATGTAGTGGGGGTTGTGTGTCCCTGTCAAGTCACCCAGGTTGTCTGGTAATAATTTCCTTGACTAGGTCATCTGATGGCGAGGAGGATTACAGGAAGGCTGGGACAGCAACTTGGGTGGCAATGCGGATGCCAAGGCCGCCGGACCCAACTGAAAGAGTGGCTTGTTTTCACTAACAGTCATTGAGGGAAAGGTTGACAACTTTTTCTAGCATGGTCTTCAGTAAGAAGTCACTCTCTCCAAGTTTTGGAGCTTTTAAGTTAGCATATCTTATTCTACAATCAGCTGTAATTTTTAGCTACTCCAGGGTTAGCATAAAAAAACTTGTGTGTTGCAGAATCTATGATTACTGTACTATGCATTAATATACAAAAGTTCTAAATTTAATGCATGAGGAACCCCTAAATATTTCTTACTTTCTAAATGTGAAATATTGTAATGGCACAAGAACAACAACTGGAGAAATTAGAAAAGCACCCCTCTGCCAACTGTGGTCCAATGAATAAACTCCACACACAAAGGCCTGGTCATCCAGAAGGAGCACAAGTCTCAGATGGGCACCGGCCGTATTTCAAAAGTGCACCCGCAACAAAGTCAACCAAAGGAGGGAAACGGAGGCCAGTCTGGCAGCCTAGACCAGGTCATGGCCAGCCTGACCTTGAGAAGGCACCAACTGGGGTGACTGCCAGTTACCAAAATGCAAAAATAAATCAACTGGAAAAGAATCAGATTTCTGGCCATCAGACAGACTAGACTACCGAGGGATAAAATTAGCCAGTTGCTCAGTTAAAAACACATCCCTGAAGAAAAAGATGTCAAAGGACCCAGTAGTTTATCTGCAGAAGATCTGTGCGCAAGGGAAAGACAAAAATGAGAGAGCCCAAAAGTGGTACGAGAGATGCCACAAACCAAACCCAGCTGCTAGGTTTGGAGGGGAACATTCCAAAAAGACATCCCACAAACCAAAGGAAGCTAGTCAAGCGATGCTCAAAGCCAACCTGGAAATCTAGACCCCAGTGATCCGAAAGGTGCTGACATGATGAAACTCATTATCTATAAAGGCAAATGCAGAAAACCAGCTTTGAATGTAACGAAACACCATTTTTGGGGGGAACCCCAATGGTTTCCTGGAGCTATCGGGCTAATATGCGATACATTAGACCATGGCTTTAGTTAATGGAGTTCTGCTTACCGGGAACCACAAGCAAGAACCTAGCCCCCCTCCCAGGGGCAGTGAGCAATGGCCCTGAAAAACCTTCCCTGTGGTTGGTGGTTTACCTTATCTACCATTGACTGGGGTTAGGCACCCAGAGAGGTAGGCATAACAAAAACAGACCCCACAAGGTAAGAAAAATGCAAACAAATGCCGAATAGAAAGGTAGAACTCCGTCCATTCCCAATGAAACAAGCAAACATCATACCACGCTGTTGTGTCGCTCGTCCGCGAAGCACCCTCCCGCCCTGGGAGGTGGAGGGGAAAGCCCCGGACCCACCCACCGGCTACCCAATATCAGTTCAGAGGCTAAGCATCAAAAGCTAAACGAAACAACCAACCAAAGGGAGGAAGGGTGCCTGGAAGCCTCCGGGGTTCACCCAGAAAATGACATTTCATTACATTCAACGCTGGTTTTCTGTGGGGAGCCCCTTCGGCTCCTTGGAGATACATAACCAAAGATAAGGAAAAGATAGACTTACCCGGGAGGTGGCCACCACACACTCCTCAACGCGAAGTCGAGACAACAGGCTGCAACCTGCGACCCCAAAGCAACACAAGAACGCCCAGGCCCCGGAACGTTAACCAAGAACCTTGTTCAACTTCGAAAATCACCGCGCTCGTATATCAGCCCAAGACATGATGCCAAACACAGCAGTCAAAGCAGTAAACTTCCTAACCTCACAAGGATAGACCACAGGCTGGCTGTACTTAATAACCCTGCGGACAACTTGGAAGACCCGAACCTTGGAACAGGGAATGAGGGAAACTGGATCAACCCAAAGCACATCCCCAGCCACAGAAGCCAAAGCGTGCAGGTAATAGCAAAGAGCCACAACTGGACACAAGCCATGATGCACCCCCGGTCTGACCAACCGTCAGACCAGTTGGTAACACCAAAGGGGAAGGGGTACAGGTAACCCCACCTTCACCAGTCCAGTCAAAAGGCGTCCACCATGAAGGCCTCCCAGTCAGGGAAGGGCGCTACATATATCAGGAGACTCCGAGACCACGCCGATGCGACGAGGTCCACTTCTAGGAGTCTGTATTTCTGGCAGAGCCAACTGAAGGAGTCAGCATCAACCAACCATTCCGGGGACAGGGGAATGAAAGGGGACAGGCCGTCCGCCAGGACGTTGGACACTCCTTGGATATGAACCTCAAGGAGAGCCAAACCCAGAGAAGCAAGCAGACGAGCCACTCAAAGCAATCAGCCCCAAAGAGGTAAGAACCGATGAAAATGCCCCGTTGTTCAGGCAATGAACCACCGGAGAACAGTTGGACCCGAATAGTCGAACCCCGAGCGACTCGAATGCACCGAAGCGACAGCCAATCTGCCGCGAACTCTCACACTGTGTTGTGAGCCCAATGGAAGGACCGACCCCACTGCCCCTGGCTGGCCTGGTGAGCACTGGTCACAAAATCCCGGCTGAGACACAACGCATCCATGAACACATCGAGAGGGCTTGGGTAGGAGCCAAGGCACTGAACCTCAAAAAACCCGAAGAGGAAACCAGCGACACAGCAACCAACACAAGACCCCTGGCGGACGAACCTAGTGATCGCGAGAGAGACAGAAGGGCCATCCACGAAGGAACCAGAACAGACGCTGAAGCCAAACGCAATCCAGCAGGCAGACCAGCACAGCGAAGTCCAGATTCCCGCACAACTGCTCGAACAACCACTGAGGGACCTGGGACACCTCCAGAAACAGCTGGAGGTGGGACTGCAGCTACAGCAACGCCTCTCGAGGGAGAGACATGGAAGCTGTCCGAGAGTTCCAAACAAGACCCAGCCAGGTCGGAACCAGTTGAGACGTCTGCCAGTTCACCAGGAACACAAACCCGGCGAGCTGGGAAAGAACCACACCCCTGGCAAGCAGACAAGCAGACCGACTGGGAGCCCACACCAGCCAGTCGTTGAGGTAGGCCAGAACCCGAACCCCAAGTAGACGCAGACGGATCACCACGACCCGCATAAGACGCGTAAAAATGTGAGGTGCCATATTCAAGCCAAAAGAAAGGCAACAAAAGTGGTAAGCTAAATGCCCCATCACAAAATCTAACCAGTCCCTAAACTCTGGATGAACAGGAACCTGCCAAAATGCGTCCTTGAGGTCCAGGGACACCATCCAGGCACCCAAGGACCTCAGACATCCAAAACGAGGGACAAGGAATCCAGGGTTCAGACAGGACAAGTCCAGAATGAACCGCACAGTCCCGTTTTGGCCCTGGAAACAGGCAGGAACCCACCTGAGGAACTGAGTCGATGCAACCACACCCAAGCGCACCCACTCCAAGATGACCCGACAAAACACAGGGGAAGAAACCTGCCCCGCCAGCCCGGAATCCCCCGAAGGAGGAGGAGCCACCCAACACCACCAGAGGCTAGAGGAGCAGGACCAGGCATCGTGGGACCAGGTGCAAACATACAGAGCAAGCCATCCGCCCCCCCCCCCCCCCTGCCCCCCCAATCGCCCCAACAATAATTTGCAAAGAAAATAACAAAAAGAAAAGAAATGCAAGAAGCCAACAGGCGAGCAGAGCGAGCACCACGCCAGCCAGACGAAGAAGGCACCGGAGGAGGCACCAGCACAAAAGCTGCACCAAACACCCACCTCGACGACAAAAGCCGAAGCCCTGGCACAACCACAAAACATGTGCCAAGACCCAAGAAGAGGCAGTCTGCAAACCAGGAAGATCCTAGAAGCCCGGAAGAGGAAAGACCAGGGCACACAGGAGGTAACCAAGGGCCTCCAGAACCCCCACAGGGGATCCGAGAGGAAGAAAACCTCCGGAACAAAACCAAAGAGCCCAAAGGAGCCCGGAATCAAACCCGGGGGAAGCTCAAACCACCACATTTGTTGACGGAAACGCACCACAGAAAGGAAGGGCAAAACACATCACCCAGACTGAACCCCCTGTTAAATGGCCAGAAACGGACCAAAAATCTAGGACAAAAGGCATGGGAGCAAGCAGAGCAAACAGCCAGGGACACTGGGTCCAAACCCAAACACAGAAAGAAAACACAAAACCAGGTAAAAAACCAACACCCAAGCATTCCCAGAGGAACAGAATAAGGGCACAATGCTCCAGATGAAAGAATAAAACAGAGAAACTGCAATGGAGAAACCTCCAACGGAGGAGAAAAAACACCCCAAAATGCGAGCGCACACTCCCAGGCACATGTAAACAAACTGCAGCACCGCCCTGGCGGTCAGACGGGGAAGCCTCGCCGCCAATTATGTATCTCTCCCGCCTGCGCTCAAGAGAATACAGATTTAGAAATTTTAGTCAGTCCTAATAGTTTAAATGTTTTAGTGAGTGGATTCTAGCAGTAAAAGATCTTTGCATGCTCTCCAAGTCAGCAATTGCTCCAGCTTTGAAAGGGGCTGTCATTGTGCAGCAGTATTGCACTCAAGAGAGCACTAGCATCTTGAAAAGAATCATCATTGATATAGCATCTCTACTTTGAAAATTCTTGTTATCCAACCTGTCATTTTTCTTGCAGTTATAATGGCTACTTTACAGTATTGTGTTCTATAAAGGTAGGTCTTCTGACATGATTACACCCAAATCCTTAACATTGTTTTTTTGTTCAATGTTATTATTTGACTGCATTTTGTACATGTTATCTGCTTTTATATTTTCATTTTTTCTGTAGTGCAGGAGCTGGAACTTATCTTCATTAAATACCCTATTATTTTCTGTAGCCCATAGAAAGACCTGATTTACATCTGATTGGAGGTTTGCTGTGCTCTCGATGTTGTCTACTCTCACAAAAATTCTAGTGTCATCTGCAAAGGATGATACAGTACTGTACTATAGTTTGTTCTTTGTTTGTCTGATACGAGGACGAGAAAAAGTATTGGAGCAAGCACAGTGCCCTGGGGGACTAAGCTCTTCAAGGTTGATGGTCCGGATTTTATTTTGCTGATTATTACACATTGGGCTCTGTTATTCAGAAAATTGTAGATCCATCTGCCAATTTTTCCGGTAATTCCTTCTGAACGCATTTTGTGTGCAATAACACCATGGTCACATTTGTTGTAAGCTTTTACAAAATCTGTGTAAATTACAACAGTGTTTTGCCCGTCTTCCATGGCATCTAAGGCCATGTCATAGTGGTTCAGAAATTGTGATAGGCAAGAGTGCCTTGTTCTGAAACCATGTTGTCCAGGATTATGGAGATGCTGGGATTTCATGTACAGTATTTTGTGATCTTACTTCTTAGGACTCTTTCAAAGATTTTTATGATGTGTGATGTTTGTGCTATCAATGAGTAATTTTTTTTACTCTGCAGTATTTCCTCCTTTACGGAGTGGTGTTATCTCTACTGTTTTTAGTATGTCAGGGATAACGCCAGTATCTAGGCTTTGTCTAAAAAGAATGTGAAGGGCCTGCGACAGTGTTTTTTTACAGTTTTTGATGAATATGGAGTTCCAAGAATTGGGACCTGGTCCAGAGTGCATATGCATACTGTCTATGGCTTCTTCAAAATCCAATAGGGATAGGGTGATGTATGATTTGATGTTGGTATCACATCCATAAAAAATTCATTTGGCTTATCAATGATCGGCGAGTTTAGTGGCTCGCTGAAAATAGAGTTGTACCGATTCCTCAGTATTTTGCTCATTTCTTTGTTGTCATCTGTGAAAGTTCCATATCCTTTTGCAGGGGCCCAATATTAGATGTATTTTTTTTATCTTGATTTTGCATAGGTGAAAAAATATTTCAGATTTCTCTCTATTCAACAGATGGCCTTTTGCTCTCTTTGTCTCTCTTGGATTTTGTATGAGTCTTGAAGCTTTAGTTCAATTTTAAAACTGCCTTGCCTTGCCCTGCCAAGGGATCACCCGCAAGAAGGCCAATGCGAACCTCTCGAACCGAACTACAGAACATAGTTCGGTTCGAACTATGGCACCGACCAGGTGAAGAAAACCCAGCTGAAGAAAATGCAAGAGCCCACCTGGCAACATCCTCCTACCTCAAGTAATAGCAGGCACTGCAGAAGCCCACCAAAACCACCTCAGAACATGAGGACAACCTCACACACACAAAAAAACCAACACCATCTAAAATGCAGTACCCAGAAACTAGAAGCACTGCACCACAACTCCCTCCAGAACAACAATAGAAAAAAGAAGAGGCAGAAATGAGAGCTAGGGTCCATGCTGAGTCCAAGGAAGGAGCCAGCATGGCCTGTCGATATGTGAGTTGGGAGGCAAAAAACAGTGACCACAGCCTCCCAGAGAAAAGGGGCATACAGCTTCAAGATCACTGCCGACAACACCACAGCAGAGGCCAAGACCCCAGCAAGAGGAACACCACTGAGCATCCCAATGTTTCCTATGAGCCAATCCAAATGCAGCTACAGAAGCCTCAAGAACTGCATGACAGTGCCCAAATGCAAACGGGCACAAAGGTCTTCCAAATCAGCATTGCCAACATCAGAGGAACTTGAGCAGAGAGCTGCAAGAGCCCAACATACCAAGGGAAACCAGGAGCAAATGGGCAGACTATGAAAAGCACAAAAAAGTGCTTCCCCTCTCTCCCCCCCCAAAAACAAAAACCACCTATCACATGGAAGAAGCCACATGCCACTCAATCGAGCAGGACTGACAGAAACTGCGCCAAGCTCGAGGCAAAAACAGAGGGTTGTCTGCCAGCCACAAAGACATTGGAACCTCATAACATATCCAAGAAGGAAAAGAAGACCTGAAAACAAGAGAGACTACAACAATCAAAACTCATACATGGACGGGGAAACGAAAACCTTGCACCCTGTAACAGAAAACCCTCTGGAACAGGGAGCTTAGGTCTCGGCTTGTGGTAAGCTCTCCACAAGGTAAGTAAGGTAGGTGGGGCGAACGAGCTCGCGCTAGTTCCAAGAGAATTCGATCGTTTGTTTACATAGTTGGGGTGGTTCTTTCAGCCAGTTTTAGGTCTTTGGTCTCTTAAATCCAGCAGTAGTTAGTTTTGACTTCTAGTTGCTTTCTTCGGTGTGGTGACAAAAATAAATGTCACCACTCCCTGTGCCTTTGTGAGGGGACTCAAAGTTCTGGCTCCAGTCCCTGTTAGGCCTCTAGACCTTTACAGCTGATGTGACTCAGAAGATTGTAACCATCTTGGTGTGTAGCTTTAGGAAGACCAAAGGGGCTTCCCCAGAAAAAGAGGACCTTACCAATAGGAGCAACAAAGTGCCATGCCCAGAAGCATATTTGTAAACTCAAAGCCTCATTTCACTCTTTAGTAGTAGTGATGCTAAGCCACCAAATCTATTTAATGTACTGTACTGTACTGTAATTATCACTGTAGCCTAGTACATAATAAAGCAGTTATACAGAAACAGTAAGGTTTATCTACACATGGTACTTGCATTTCCATGAATGGCCATATGTATGTACAATATAATAAATCCAGTTTGGTGTGTTATTAAATTGTTTTATTGAACCTTATTTGTAAGGTTATTTATGTAAGAAGTTAATAAAAATATACCTGTGGTGCAAAACAATTTTGGTACAGTACTGCAAATTATAACACAATTTGTAGAGTCCTCAATTAAGCGTCGATGGTTTTAAATTAAAAAATTATGACAAAAATATAAAAAATTATGACAAGAATATATATAATCAACACAAATATAACAGAGCACTAGAATAATATGCCTTCGTTAAATAGGAATTAGCATACAGATGGAATCACTAGGCAGGCACCTCTATGAGTTCATGCTGAAGGTCCTCCATATTGCCGTTGTTCGCAATGTTCAGTTGGGGCTCTGAATCGTGGGCTGCCAGACTTTCCACAATTTCATATTCTTCGCTGGTACCTGCAGAATCACTTGACCTCAGGCTGGAACACTCTTCCATACTTCCCTAGGAGAAGAATGTTCTTATATTTAATATCCCAGTGCTGTATTTTTGAAAACATACACCGGTATAAATTACAGTATCCTGGTTAACCACAATTAAATTTGCTTAACCCCTGCACTGTGCATAGCTCCTTAACCATTACACCACAGCGCATTATAATATAACACTCTTCCCCCCCCCCAATGATGCGGCAGAAAAAAATTATTTACAAAAAATTATTTTATCTTCTTACATTGTTAAAATGTGTTCTCTGATCACGGGAAACTAAAAGAAAAATATTGTATGTAACATACTTTAGCCATGATGAACCAAAGAACGTGAGAAAATTATGAGCAACGAATGATTAGGTGCTTGAAGACACTTGCCCGAAGACAGCGACCCCGTGGGGTGGCAGTTGCCGAGAATAAACATTTCCATAATTACAGTATTTCTGAAAAATACTTTAATTATAATATTACTGCAAAAAAACAGAGAAAAACAATGAAAACCATTTAAATAATTATGAACAATTATATTCACGGCAACTGCTGCCCCATGGGGTAGCTGGGGTGAGGGCGCCTCCAGGCACCTGCTCACTAAGAGCCCGTAAATTGCTCAACTTCTCAGCTCCATCACGGCTTAAGTATGTCACATAAAATATTTTATTGTAGTTTCCCATGATTACAGACTGCATTTCAGCAATACAGTGGCACCTCGACTTACGATTGCCCCTACTTACGATAATTTCGAATTACGATGTAAATTTCATCGAAAAATGTGACTCGACATTCGATGGTGTCATCGACTTACGATATTTGTTTGTACACGTTCAGGTCAACCGAGCATGTGATTCCCGGTCACGTGGCCGACCTGCCTCAGTTTACTACAGCTGCCCACTTAGTGACGATCGCGCCTATAAGAAATTCTGCTTTTGTGGTGATTTTTTGCATTTTGAACATTAAAGTAATTATTATATATCATGCCATGAGTCACAGGAAAGTCAGTGGTAAGGCTCAACATATGACATCCCATGTAAGGATGACCATAGAACAGAAACAAGGGATCATTCGTAAATATGAAGATGGTGTGCGGGTTGTTGGACTGGCTAGGCAGTACAACAAATCTCAGTCAACGATATCTACCATACTGGCTAAGAAAAAGGACATTATGGGTGTTAAAGTGATGCATCATTACAAACAAATGTTAAAACGAAGGGAAAAACAAATGTCTCTTGAGAAATTTGTAGTGAGACAAACAAGCACTGAAACACAACCAGGTCCTAGTGGTATTCAGGCAAAACATAGGAGAGAGAGAGTACCCCAGAGAAAACATCACTGCCTGATGTGATAATGGAAGGGGACTCCCCTTCCAAACAATAACAACTCTCCTCATCACCATCTTCCATATGCCATCAAGAGCCCTCCATAAAGGTAAGATAAACTTAGGTACTGTATTGTAGTTAGAAAAAAACATTGTATTCAGTATAAAATGTATTTGTATGTTAATATTTTGGAGGGTGGGGAACGGATTAATTCAAATCCCTTTATTTCTTATGGGAAAAATCGCATCGACTTACGATATTTCGACTTACGATCCGTCTCTGGGAACGAATTAGCATCGTAAGTCGAGGCCCCATTGTATAGGAGAAAATAGTTTTTTCCAGCACTCCAGTGGTAAATCTCCCCACCTAGTCATACATAATATTACACAAATTTAATTGTATATACACAAAGAAGATGTGTCTTCTGTTGCTGTGTTATTTCCATTAAATTTAATTAAGAAAATCATAGCATTAATTCAAATAATGAAATGTAATTCCTGTTATCTTTAACCCTTCAATTGCGAATCGCATCATATGATGCTTTGACCGACTTGCAGTAAATTGCGCATCGCATCTTGTGATGCTTTGGAGTACTACGCAAGATTTAAACGGCCCGCGGATACACGGGGTTCACCACACCTTCATCAGGGCTCTTGTAAACAGACGCCATTTTTAAAAAAAATCGTGGGCCAAACTCCAGGGTGTTAGGGGCCTCAGTATTGAGTCAGCTACCAAGCCTGACGCACGCAGCATGAGCTCACAGCACTGCTGTTCAGCTTGTGACCACAGCATCGCCTAAAAATGCCATAATATACTTGTTCATGCTATTATGCAGCGATGATATTATTACAGAAGACCCCTGACTGTGATAAAACTGACCAGGGTTCTGATAATAGCAGGATTGTGGTGATATTTGGCGCTGTGCGCCATGGAGGGAGGAGTAATGCTGTGGGAGGGAGGATGGTGGCGTTGTCTTTTGAGTGTGTGTGGCCACCTTTTATTGACTGCACTCACCATACCAGCTTAGTGGTTCGCTATGGTGAACACAAATGTAGATACTTATATATAACGTGTGTATAGTGTGAGATAACAGCGAGAGTAGGAGGTTGGGAGCCGCCATTTTGGTGAGGGAGGAGCGTCGTCTGCAGAACTTATCATGTTGTTTACTGATGACCACGATGGTCTTTGGGCACCATACCAGTTTACTTGTACAAGTATGGTGAATAAAACAGGTAGATATTTATATATAATGTGTGTATATAGCGTAATAACACCACAAACAGTATTGTTGTAGGAGAAATATTAGTGCGTCTGGCCTTGAGGGCGGTAGCCATCAGCTGACTGTGTGAGTAGCTACGTCTCTCTGCCTTTACTCACCATACAAGCTTAGATGTACAGTTATGGTGAACAAAACATGTAGATACTTATATATAACGTCTGTATATAGTGAATTATAGCAAAAACATTATTGTGGGAGGAGAATGAGGGTGAGTCAGATGACTGGAGGGAGGGCGGGAGTGGCTGGCTGGTACACGGCGGTCACTCCTCATTACTTTTTGACTCATAATAGCTACTTAGTGGTTCGTTATAGTGAACAAAACATGCAAATACTTATATATAACCTGTGCTTATAGTGTAATAACCGACAAAGTATTTGTTCACTGATTGATGAACATAATTGAATCAACAATATGCACACCATATTTTTGAGTACACCAATGATTCACTCATTTTATTATATAAATATATCAAACTACACACTATTGAATAATATTACAGCAAAAAAAGTATGAAAAATCAATCAGAGACATTGAAATAATTCGGTAATTATCTCTTTGTGGCAACTCTGGCCTGACAGCTTGCGAGCAACAGACCGCCTGGGACGCACGCTGAGTCAGCGCCTATAATTTGCCAGACTTCCCCGCCCTATAGCGGGCAATATATGCCACTTACGATTTTTTTATTATTTTTCCCGTGATATATGAAACACAAATTAACAGGTTAGAAAGAAAAAATATTTTGTTTGTTTTTCAAAATGACATGTGCCTGTGGGGATGACAGGATATTAAACCCCGAGCATGTTAAGGGTTAAGAACATAAATTATTGATTTAGTTATATTAGTTTAGGTTAGGTTAAGATAGGTTAGGTTAGGTAGGGTTGATTAGGTTTGGTCATATATCTACTTTAGTTTTAACTCAAATTTCAAAAAATTAACTCTTACATAATGAAATGGATAGCGTTATCATTTCATAAGAAAAAAATTCAAAAAATATATAAATTCAGGAAAACTTGACTTATTAGGCAAATCGGGCCTTGCATAGTAGGCCGAGTGTGACGTTCTGGCTACTAGGTACAACATTATAAATATACACACACACACACACACACACACACACACACACACACAGTATACACATACATATATACACACAGTATATACATACATATATACAGCATATACGTATTTATATATGTGTATGTAAATCATGAAAATTAGAACGTGATGAAAAATGTGATCGTGTTAGACCACGGAAAAAGAATTGAAACAGGAATTTCCTTAAGGACTTTCGTATATTAATACATCTTCATATGAAATGATTTACAAGTCAATAAGTTTGGATATATATAGGCAGGAGAGAGAGGTGAAGTGAAGTGAGGTACAATAAATAATAAATAAATAAATAAATAAATAAATGTTTATTTAGGTAAGGTACATACATACAAGAGATTTTACAAAGTTTGTTGGGTTAATAGATAGAGCTAGTACATACAATGCCTAAAGCCACTATTACGCAAAGCGTTTCGGGCAGGAAGATGACAAATATATGAATAGGATTAGGTGGATATAAAATAAGAACTGCATCATATGGGCACATTATATAAGAGTTGCATCAATAGGCCCATACATGGATAATAATAGCATAAAATAGTAGATATTAACAATGAATTAGTGAGACAAATGTGTATCAATGATCCTACTCAATTCGCCCTTTAACTGATCACTCAAAAATGGACCAAAATTATATACACCACTGCTAATGTTCAAATTACATGATTTTGTAATCTGTATTAAAGCAGATTCAATTAAGTTCCTATTGAAAGTAGTTTTATAATTCGTTATTGAAGAAGCCATCTCCCAGTCAATTTGGTGAGAATTTTCTGACAAATGAACAAGCAAAGCATTAGACAATTGGCCATGTCTTACAGAGTATTTATGTTGAAAAATTCTACATTTCAAATCTCAGATGTTTGCCAACACAGAACCTATTACAGTCTTTATAAGGTATTTTATAAATGACACAATTATCACTACGAGGGTTGTTTGTATCAAACTAATAGTTTACCAACAGTATTTTCATAATTAAACAATACATATACTGTATATAAAAAAGTTTCAAGGCCTTGACTATATTTTCAAACCCAGAAAAATATGGTTATATAACCATAACACATTCTTTGGGCGAATTTTCTCACTGCATATATTATTATAATATGCTCGACGTGCTTTTCTACGGCAAACTTCCAAAAAACCAGCGTTGAATGTAATGAAACGCCATTTTCTGGGTGACTCCCAGAGGCTCCCCGGAGCTATCCCAGGCTGATATGCTAATGTCAGACTTTGGCATCAGTCATGTGTATGGAGTTCTTAGGCCTACCGGGGACCACGGCCAGAACCGGGCCCCCTCAGAGAGGCAAGGGGAG